ACCTTATATTAAAAGAACACAGGGGAGACTGTTAGTACGGTGAAAAAATACACTTATAAAGTTGTGTAGATGAGAGAGACCAAAAACAGAAAAGAACGGAAAAGTTGCCAGCTGCATCATTGCCGAGAAGGAATGCGACAATGAAGCAACAAGTGTTACACTGAGGAAGAAAACAGAATTAAAAGCGAAATAATGCAAAACTGAGTCCAGATTTTGATTTCGAATTGACGAATTTAGTTTGATTAACTTGAAAAACCACTTAACAGACCTGTCATGAAATTGTAAACACAGATGGTCGCATTTCCTTTGGTTGGTGAATCGAACAATATTGAGCAGAAATAAACGAACGGTAGTTCAGCCCATCCATAAAGAAGCATAATTAAGTAAAGTGTTAATCCCACGCTACTCCGCGATATGTACACCTAAAATTTGTTGATAGTAAGGAAAAAAGTAGCTGATTCCTTCCCAAAAAAAGAAAGTATTATCATAAGAATCATTTTTATGCGTCTCAAATTGCAATGCAGAATGAGAAATAAATAAGTGGAGTATTTTAACAAAACAATAAATCAAACAAGCAAGCCCCAGTAAGCACGAAAAAAACAACCAAAAAAGCAATCTGCGGACAGCAAAGGCAATTTTTACTAAACTGTAAGGCACTGAATTTTTTAAGCTAGGGCCCAAAAAATTGTTTTTTTCATAAAACTGAGGCACTCGAAATTAGCTCCAGTAGCCTCCTTTTACACTCGAAAAAAGTTTTGCAACAAAAATTCGGTGTCAAACATATCAACGGGTCCTTCTTTCGAGGGCTGATTGGAAGCAAGTTGAAGGGTTGGTCTCCCTAGCACAACTTACCATTTAGTACACCATGAACTAAGCAAAATGGAATTACTTTTAAGCCAACGATAACAAAAACGATCATGCATAAAGATGCAGGGATCAGGAAAACAGCATAATCCCATATAAATGCTGTCAGCCAATACATCCAGTGCCGCAAGCCGCATAACATCTGCAAGCCGAGATTGAAGATTTTCATTAATTTCTTGTAGTTTTCTCTCAAATTGCAGTAAATTAAGATTTATTAAATCTCAAATGAGGTCGGACTTTTCGGATGGCCCCTGAGGTGGCGAATCGATTGTGACAGCTAGCAAATGAATTTAGGTCAAAAACTTTTACGCAACAGGCCTGGCTAATATCAATGGTTTTTCATGAGAGAGGCTCAAAACAGAGAAGGATGGAGAAATAGCCAGATGAAATAGCGGCTAGAACAAATGTGACAATG